AAGGAGATGTTGGTAATGTTCTTTCCAGCGCATTGCAATAGCTTCAACTCCTCAAAAGATTCCATCAACGGTGTCTCCAGAAAAAATTACACATCACTTGGGAAGACAGGTGAACTAATACCAGTGTACTGGAAGAAGCAAAGATCACCAGTGTTGAAGCAATCATTCTTCAGCATCAACTTTGTTGGAGTGGTCAACGGAAGCCTGATGATCGTCTTCCAAAGCAACTACAGTGGTACCTCGGGTTAAGTACTTAATTCATTCTGGAGGTCCGTTCTTAACCTGAAACTGTTCTTAACCTGAAGCACCACTTTAGCTAATGGGGCCTCCTGCTGCTGCCGCGCCACCGGAGCACGATTTCTGTTCTCATCCTGAAGCAAAGTTCTTAACCCGAGGTACTATTTCTGTACGCTCATCTCGCTTTACTGGCCGAGGGAGCTGGCGTACAGCTTCCGGGTCATGTAGCCAGCATGACTAAGCCGCTTCTGGCGAACCAGAGCAGCGCACGGAAACGCCGTTTACCTTCCCGCCGGAGCGGTACCTATTTATCTACTTGCACTTTGAAGTGCTTTCGAACTGCTAGGTTGGCAGGAGTTGGGACCGAGCAACGGGAGCTCACCCCATAGCGGGGATTCGAACTGCTGACCTTCTGATTGGCAAATCCTAGGCTCTGTGGTTTAACCCACAGCGCCACCCACGTCCCTAACCCCTGTCTACCCCTCCCCTTTTGTGGCATGTCAGTGATGTAGCAATGATGCTGTACGAACTGTATTCTGGGATATGGTGGGAAAGTTTTAAAAGTCCTTGTCACCCCATCCTCGGGGTTCAAAATTCCTCTTTGAACCTGTTGCGCAATAAACTTTGGTCTACAGCTATTTGCTTCGGTTGGCTGGACTCCTTCCTTTATTCCGCAGGGACCAGTGGGTCTGCCCGACGAGCTGGGTGACTGAGCAGCCTCACACCTAGATTTTTCTGTAACAGGAGTCCACCCGCATCTGGAAGGCAACAGACGTTCTTCATCCCTAATACGCATGGAGCAGATGAAGCAGCATTTCTCAGACTTGCTGTTGCACTACAACTCCCATCATCCATGACTGCTGGGTCCTGCTAGCTAAGGATGATGGGAGTTGTAGTCCAACAGCAAGTCTGAGAAACACTGAACAGTTGTAGGGGAGATATCAAGGTCCTTCAGAGAGAGGGCAATGGCACAGGGTTGCAAGGGGTTGAGTCAGATGAGCCTTGGGGTCCCTTCCAACTCTACAGCTCTATGATTTTCGGAAGCTGTGTCAGGCCATTGGTCCATATAGCTCCATATTGCCCACACGGGCTGGCAGCAGCTCTGGAGGGTCTCTCCCTGGAGGTGCCATTGGGGAATGAACCTGGGGCCGTTTGCATGCGAAGCCGATGCTCTGAGCCACAATACATGAGGACATTCTTGAGAATGAGGACATTCGTGGTGGAAACATCAAGTTTAATACAAGCATCAACATTCAGCAAGTGGGGAGGAAAATATATTAAACTTCTGGCATTTGATTGTCTTCCTTCTGTCTCTCCTTCTAATAAACCATGCTTTTTTTAACCACTTGACTGTTCTGATTGGTCTGAACGGGACTATTCATTTCTTGCATCGGACTTCTGCATATTCGGTCTAGAACGGGAAATGGAAAAGCCAGAGGCCACTTAGTGGTTTTTTTTATTTTCTACATTTGCAAAAGCAAAGCGCCCGCCCCCCGCCCCCCGCTTTTTTTGGACCAATTTAACATTTCGATTTTTTTTAAAAAAGCGATCTTGTTTTCCTGTGGTTATTAGTCATTTTCACCTTGTGAGCCGTTTTACGCACTTTTCGTTGCAAAAGCAACATTACAAAGTTATGACTATTGAAAAGTAATGCATATTTTTTTTTTAAAGGAGCATTTTCACTAGATAAAAAAGGAGTTTTTAAATTCAGGGTGTTAGCCCTAGAATATTTTTCTTCTCTCAGTTGCCCAGTAGTAATTTATGACATTTAAAGGTCCTAAATAATAAAATAAAATAAAATAAAATATAAAATAGGACTGTGCAGGCAATTAAGAGCACATCCTTTCACAATGTCTGCTTTCAACTTCTGTTTATGGTTTTTATTGTACGGTTCTATACTTTTATCGCTGTAAACCGCTTTTATATGTTCTTTATGACACAGCGGTGTACAGATATTTTTTATAAATCAATAAAAGCTTCACTATGCAGGGATGGTGAATTACCTGTGGGGTCTCCCTCATGGGCAGTCGATTTTCTGGTGCATCTGCATTCCCTGGGAAGAGAAAAGGGACAAGAAGAAGACAAGTTAACCAGAAGGAAAACCTGAGGAACAGATCCATGTGATGCTGTTCATTCCCCAAAGGCATTACCTCCAGATCGAAGTTTTCTGCAGAGCACGACCAAAGGGGGAATCAGCAGGAGGATGACTAAACAGGGTATCCCAGTCAGCAATATGTTCCTGCAGTCCTCTGCGAGAGGAGAGGTGGAAGAGAGAGGGAGGAAAAGGGTGTCAGTGACTGTGGAGGCTGGTGGACCAGTCTAGGGCAAAGGGGAGAGCAAGTTAATCTATGGAACTCTCTCCCACAAAAGGCAGCGAAGGCCACCAACTTGGAGCACTTTAAAAGGGGAGTCATTTTGGGCTCACAGCTGTCCATGGAAGTGCAGGTCAATTCTGTGTCCAGGGTAGCTGTCTGCCAGCTCCATCTGGTACGCAGGCTGAGACCCTCCCTCCCTGCAGACTGTCTCGCTAGAGTGGTGCATGCTCTGGTTATCTCCCACTTGGACTACTGCAATGCGTTCTACGTGAGGCTACCTTTGAAGGTGACCCAGAAACTACAACTAATCCAGAATGCGGCAGCTAGACTGGTGACTGGGAGCGGCTGCCAGGACCACATAACACCGGTCCTGAAAGACCTGCATTGGCTCCCAGTACATTTCTGAGCACAAGTGTCGGTGCTGACCTTGAAAGCCCTAAATGGTCTTGGTTGAGTATACCTTGTCTGTATCCCCATCATTCTGCCCCGACACTGAAGTCCAGCTCCGAGGGCCTTCTGGCGGTTCCCTCATTGCGAGAAGCAAATTTATAGGGAACCAGGCAGAGGGCCTTCTCGGTGGTGGCACCCGCCCCGTGGAACGCCCTCCTACCAGATGTCAAAGAGAAGAACAACTACCAGACTTTTAGAAGACATCTGAAGGCAACCCTGTTTAGGGAAGCTTTTAATGTTTGATGTTTTATCGTTTTTTTACTATTCCGTTGGGAGCCACCTAGAGTAGCTGGGGAAACCCAGCCAGATGGGCAGGGTATGAATAATAAATGATGATGATGATGATGATGATGATGATGATGATGATGAAAGAGGACTAGGCAAATGCACAGAGGAGAGGGCTGTTGATGGCTACTAGCCACAGTGGCTATGCTCTGTCTGCCCAGTTTGAGCAGCAATGCTGGAAACCACAGGAGGGGAGAGTTGCTCTCGCGTTCGGCTCCTAACTACAGTGGCACCTCGGGTTACAGACGCTTCAGGTTACAGACTCCGCTAACCCAGAAATAGTACCTCGGGTTAAGAACTTTGCTGCAGGATGAGAACAGAAATCGTGCTCCCGCGACACGGCGGCAGCAGGAGGCCCCATTAGCTAAAGTGGTGCTTCAGGTTAAGAACAGTTTCAGGTTAAGAACGGACCTCCGGAACGAATTAAGTACTTAACCCGAGGTACCACTGTACTGGTTTCCCCTTAGGGCATCTGTTTGGCCACTGCGATGACAGAATGCTAGACTAGATGGGCCTCCTTTGGCCTGAGGCAGCAGACACTTCTTACGTGTATATGTAAATAAAGTAGATTAGCCAAAATGCTGAGTTGCCGAGGTCTGTCACGCAAGCTGCGAAGACTCTGAGGATCCCTAAGTGTGCCGATGTCTGTTGGCATCGGTCGCTGTGATGTTCGGGCAGAAGAAAGCCTTTGAAGCTCCCGAATGATAGACCAGGAGGGAGGAAACATGCCAGTCGGGCACGTGTCTCTGCCAGGGTCCTACTCGAGTGTAGGACGAGCTCCTGACAGAATCTTGATAAACTCAGTAGGTTAGCTGCATAATTTTAGACTCTGGAATTAAGGGTTGTGCAAGACCGCCATCTTTTGATGGGCAGTTACTTCCTTCAAAATGGGGCAAGACAGCCACCTTGGGTTCGGAGTGTGGGATGTGAAACACAAGAGCAGTCAAATACAACATTCCTAGAGTGGACATGTTTACACATGGGGAGGGATGTTTGTCCAGCCAGCAGGTAAACTTCCTGTTTCCTTCTGGGCTGGGACAGACTTCCTCTGCGTGTGACTAGAGGTGGGCGTGGCCTCACCTGTGCAGGTAACGACAAAAGCACAGGGCAGGGCAGCCATCTCTCTCTCTTTGACTACATGCATCAAAGAAGCCACATCTACTAAGCCAAAGATGCTCTCTTGGCTCCCAGCCAAGAGAGGACAAAGGGACTGTCTTCTTAAGAGATAGATTCCAAGTGTATGTTACTTCATTAAGCTAAGTCTGCCTTCTGGGATCTGACTGTGAACAGAATGTGAGTAAACTCTTTTTATACTTTTGTAAAAGACTGTGTCGTCTCTTCTATTTTATGAGGGAATAAGGGGGAAATACCAGAACAGTTATTATAGAGGCTTTAGCGAGCCTGAGCAAACGCTGTCGTTGCAAACTTAAAATAAAGGGGAATGTATTACTCTGCTGAAATTCGGGAACTTGTTAACACAAGTTGGATAAGGATATAATCAGAGACTATATCCTCTCCTGCATCCCTGAACATTCCCACACGGAGACCCTTCTAGAAAGCCTGCTTGCTGGGGGCCCAGACTTCTGCAAAACCCCAATAAAGTCATGTCCTGATGGCCCCACAGGAAAGGTCTGTGCCCTTGCAAATTCTCACCACTTAGGGAAATGGGGTCCATTGAAAAGCTACAAACCGAACCAGCTATTTGGTTACAAGGTACCTTGGGTTGTAGAAGCTGCGTTCGAAGGGACCACTGCACTGATGTTTCTTTTCTCCTGGTCTGAGCAGGAATAAGCCATCCCTTGGCTCCATCTCTCTGGAGGAATCAGCTTCAGACTCCAAACGGTGAAGGCTCCTTCCCCATCGATCACGTCACCATCCTTCCGGTCCTGAGAGGTTTCCCCACCAATATCCCAGGAGAAAGTATCCTCATCAGGGTTTGCGTCAATCAGGAGGCAGAGGAGGGGAAGGTGGTGGGAGAGCTCAGCGTCTTCTGCAGTGGAAGGAGCAAGGAGGGAAAGTCTTGGCCCAGAAGGACCTAGGAGAGAAGGAGAATCGCATGAGAATGGCTCCTCAGATCTTTAATTAATCCCTCTCGTAGGTTTCATGGGGGTGACATGGCTCCTCAACAAACTAGACCCAATAGACATCCATCCCAATGACCGTTGCAGGAGTTAGAGTGTTGGACTAGGGCCTGGAAGAGACCTGGGTTCAAATCCCCACTCAGGAAGCTCGCTTTGGGCCGGTCTCAGCCTAGCCTCCCTCACAGGTTGCTGTGGGGATCAGTGAGGAGCAGCTGAACCAAGTGCAATACCTGGAGCTCCTTGGAGAAAAAGGTGGGGGTGTAAATGCAATAATAAATAAATAAAGCAAATGCTACAGACCCTAATTTAAATCTAAGCCATAGTTGCTTAAGACTTGCCCTACCAATATTGACTAGTAATACAGTCGAACCTTGGTTTTCGAACAGCTTAGTTCTCGAACGTTTTGGCTCCCGAACGCCACAAACCTGGAAGTGAATGTTTTGGTTTTCAAACGCTCTTTTGGAACCCAAACGTCTGATGGGTCTTCCGCGGCTTCCAATTGGCTGCTGGAGCCTCCTGCAGCCAATCAGAAGCTGCCCTTTGGTTTCCGAATGTTGTGGAAGTCGAACGAACTTCCGGAATGGATCCTGTTTGACTTCCAAGGTACGACTGTATTGGTATTACAGTAGTACCTCTGGTTGCAAACGGGATCCATTCCGGAGCCCCGTTCGCAACATGAGCAGAACGCAACCCACGTCTGCGCGTGAACAGGTCGCAATTTGCTGCTTCTGCGCATGTGCGTGACATCATTTTGAGCACATGCGCATGCGTGAGTGGTGAAACCTGGAAGTAACCCTTTCTGGTACTTCCAGGTCGCCGTGGGACGCAACCTAAAAACGCTCAACCTGAAGCAAACGTAACATGAGGTATGACTGTAATAGTAATATTAATTCATTTATTTCTTGTCCTGCACCAGCAGGTCCCAGAATGGACCTAATGATTTGCTAGAGTGAGGCACAGCTACCCTCAAATTGCAGATATTGGGGGGGGGGTTGTAAACCCCCTCCCTACCATCCCCTCACCCCGTCACCTAAGGCAGACTGCCCTGCACACAGAGGGACAGGCAGTTCTGGGTCTGGGGCTTAAATGAAATCCCAGTGTCAACCCAGTTGGATTCTGTATGTGGAAGGAGAAGGTGCCATCTTGTTTTCTTGCCTCACGTGGCCATGAAATCAGGAGAAATGAGAATGGGAGCTTCACACTGGCTCCAAGCAGTTTCAGACCAGAGTCCCTTCAGAATCTATTTCAGAGGCTCCGTTGAGATGTCCACCTGCAACATCAATTGTGGGTGGCCCCCACAACTGTGGAAGCCAACGGAGACCAGGCACAAGCCCCCCTCTCTCACAAATTTTAAGCAGGCCCCAAAGACTTATCTGCTTTTCTACTGGGCTGTGTGTGGGCTAAATGGGATTTCCAAGCGGATGCTGTGTTTATAAGGCGTTATTTCCTTTTATTTTATTGCACAATGCGTCCCCTTCAAGTGCCACACGTTTGTGTGGTTCTGCGGAGACAGAGGTCAGTGGGAAAAAGCCCCTCGCAAAGTCAAGCGCAGCCACTTTTACTTTCGAGAGAGGAAACCAGTCACAATGGAGAGGGTCTGTTGAAAGGAAGTTGAAAGGGCGAGTCACTTAAGATAAGATCGCTTCTGGCTGCTCACCATGATCACAAAATAAAATCAAACAAACACCCCACAGATCAAGAAAGCATCAATTTTCTGCAGCTGTTTCGAATCTTTGGGAAAACCCAGGCGTATGGAAAACCATTTTGGAAGTGGGTTGGTTGTGGGGTTTTTTGCCGAAGTTTGTAAAAAGATGGCTCAGAAAGTGGTTTTAAAGCTCAGCAAAGGAAAGGTCAACAACTCTTGTGTCTGGAAATTCCTGAAATATGGCAACCCTGTCTTCATCCTCCACCCAGCAAGAGGCGTTATCGCAGTTCAATGACACATTTCAGCCAGGTGAAAGCATTTAAACTGGGGGGTGGAACAGACACAGTGAGGGGTGTTGACCTGAAGGGGGCAGGGCATGGCCGCTGTGGGAACATGTCCTGTGGGGGTCTGACCAGGCCCTGAGAGTGAGGAGTCTAGAGGCCACATTCACACACCTTGGGCCTGACATTTCCCACCCCTGCCACTGAAGATGCCAGCGTGGTTATACAGCAGCGTCACAAAAGCTAAAAACAAAAAAGGCAAGAGAGCTTGTTTAAAGAAGTGGAAGCTTCGTCCAGACATGGACTGGAGCAGGGTGGAGAGACCCACAAAGCAAAATTAACAGAAGATAGGATTTGGGGAGCAGATTGCTTGAGCCAGTGTGGTGTAGTGGTTAAGAGCAGTAGTCTCGTAATCTGGGGAACCGGGTTCGCTTCCCCGCTCCTCCACATGCAGCTGCTGGGTGACCTTGGGCCAGTCACACTTCTCTGAAGTCTCTCAGCCCCACTCACCTCACAGAGTGTTTGTTGTGGGGGAGGAAGGGAAAGGAGAATGTTAGCCGCTTTGAGACTCCTTAAAGGGAGTGAAAGGCGGGATATCAAATCCAAACTCTTCTTCTTCTAACAGATTAGGACAAACAAATAAAAATGTCTTTAAATATATCTGCGGCAGGAAACTAGGCAGGCAGGCAGGTGCGGCAGATAACAAAGCTGTGAAAGGATTGACTAAAAGGTGTTATTTCGTGGGTCTTCACTTGAGGAGATATTGGGCAGTTATTTGTGTGCTGTTGTTTGAAACTTGCTAGGGGCCTATGGCAGGGACGCGGGTGGCGCTGTGGGTTAAACCACAGAGCCTAGGACTTGCTGATCAGAAGGTCGGCGGTTCGTATCCCCGCGATGGGGTGAGGTCCCGTTGCTCGGTCCCTGCTCCTGCCAACCTAGCAGTTCGAAAGTACGTCAAAGTGCAAGTAGATAAATAGGTACCGCTCCGGTGGGAAGGTAAACGGCGTTTCCTAACGGTCAAGGGTCCCTTTACCTTTAGGGGCCTATGGCGGATTTGGAAGTGGACTGGGTGTATATTAAATAAACAACAAGAGCATTTGACATCTGCTGAGCCACTCACCTAAGACGATCAGCCTCACCCCACTCAGGAAGGTGAATTTATGAGCAATAGCTCCAGCACAGTAATACACCCCAGAATCTCTTCCCTGGATGTTGTGTCGGGTCAGATTCACTTGGCTTGGGGATTTTGCTCCTGGTTTTTGAGCGGTATAATTCTCTGCAATCTTATGCAGTCTCCCTTCCTGTTCCTCTTTGTACCAGCTCACTACTGACACAAAAGTCCCTTCTGGAATGTTGCAGCTGATGTTGACAGTGGCGCCAGGAGATGCTGAGACCCTTGCCAGCGTCTGCGGGAATTCGGGGATCCCCTGTGATCCAGCAGCTGCAACAGGGAAGCAAAGGGATGTGTGGTTGGTCCTATTTGGTTGGTCCCACTAAACTGAAAACCAAGATGACCGACCCATGACTATAAAATGTTTATTTTAAAATAGGGTGCATATGACAGACCTGTTTGCTGCTTCCCCCTTTACCTGCCCCTGTCTGGATTGTCACTTGATGGGGTAAGATACAGGATTACTAAACCTCAATAAAAGGATGCACACACAAAATTTATTTCTGTCAGATGTGTTGAATTTTTCAACTTCCGAAAGTGAGGGGTGCTGAAAAGTTGTAACATAACTTGAGAATGCAAAAGATATTTAGGCTAAATTATTATAATTTAGCTTTGCTTGGTAAGTAAAATAATTGCCAAGCACTTGCAGTTATATTTATTATTATGCATTATTTCCTCCTGCTGCTGCTAATTCAGCATCACCTGACATTTTCAGAAAAATTTAAAGTACGGTACTTGGTTTTCTGAAAGCAGTTTATGTGCTTCTTTGGCAAACATAGCCTTACCAAGCTAAATGTTGTCCAGTCACAAAAATAATGGCAGATCTGAATTCCACACACACCAAAACATAGTTTTAAAAACCCTCACTGAAGAAATTTGCAAAAATTAAGTTTTACCCCCTAAAATGAGAAGCACTTCAGGTGTCACATAGCATCACAAATTTTACATTACATAATTAGCAACTACTATAATTCCAAGCAGATTTCTTGTGGGGAGCAATTACCCTGCCAAACAAATGTGCTTAAGCAACTTTATATACTGAGAGCTGCAAAAAGAAAACCAACCTCCTTTTTGCTCCTTAGGGAAGGAGACATGCCAATCAAGTTCCTAAACCAGGTTCCAAATAAGAAACTTCAAATATTTATTCAATGTGCGCACAGATAAATATACTTTACTGATTACTGAAACTGAATCGGTAGATTGTACTATATAGAATTAAAGATGTGTTTCTTTTTGCGAAGTTAAAGGAAATGGCATCATGAAAATCAGAAACACTCATCGTTTAATTGCAGCGCATCTTGCTATTTGTCAAGACTGCTGAAGATTTGAGGTGGGAGAGAAGTTTGTTCAGCTTTCATTTTAATGGGAACCAACCTAATTTGTGCTTCCTGAAAACATAAGCAGATGGAAACACAGCATTCCTACAAAATTCATGTTACTCTGAATATTTCAGGGTAGTTCTCCAACCCAAAAGTGTGCAGCTATTAGTGAAAACAATGCGAAAACAAAGCTACATTATGTTATGGGAAATTGCTTGCAAAAATGCACATGTTTTGCAAAATTCTTCACAAATATGCATGCGTTATACAAAGAGGTATATATTATGGGAAATGCTCGTGAAAATGGATAAATATTTCAATACAGCCTTTTAACAAACATTTGCAAATTGATGCAGAGATGTGGTGGAAAGCAGGTTTCTTGGGAAGGGATGACAAACTGAAAGAAGGCAAAACCGAATAGTTTGTCCATTGCTGGTGAAGACAGGCGATTTTACTCATGTTTTTATTCAAAAAACATCCATGCACGCTACAATCCTATAAATATTTACTCAGAAATAAGTCTCACTGTGTTCAATGCTGCTTTACTTCATAAGAAGGGATCTCAGGAATGCAGTCTTAAAAGCAGAACCAATACAGTGGTACCTCGGGTTACATACGCTTCAGGTTACAGACTCCGCTAACCCAGAAATAGTGCTTCAGGTTAAGAACTTTGCTTCAGGATGAGAACAGAAATCCTGCTCCGGTGGCGCGGCGGCAGCAGGAGGCCCCATTAGCTAAAGTGGTGCTTCAGGTTAAGAACAGTTTCAGGTTAAGAACGGACCTCCGGAATCAATTAAGTACTTTTCCCGAGGTACCACTGTATATAAAATCCATCGAAACCTCATCTCACCACGAATTGTCAAACTTATCAGGTTCCAGAAATACTTACTGCGTAGAGAAAGTAGCACGATCCCAAGAAAAGATACAAACATTTCCTGGTTCTGCAAGGGCGAAACGTCGGGATTGTGTGACAAATTCCGTGGGAGCGAAGCCGGCGAAATCCAGAGAAGGTTGTTGGAATAAGAATGCTAGATGATTGCTTTTCTCCTCAACCACGAAAGCAGGAAGATGTGAACTAGTGCTTTGCTCTCCAGTGCAGCAAACCCAAACCTCCCCCCAATTTTCATCAAAAAAATATATTTATGAAACAGAAAACCATTTGGTGCTCCCAAACACTGACCAACCTGTGCTGCAGAGGCGACCCAAATCTGCCGAATAATAGGGCCGGCTTTTAACGGCACGAGAGATCTTCAGATATGGGACAAAACCTGAGAGCTAAGCTCTGGGATTCAAAATCCGCTGCAGCAAACCCAAATCTTCCCCCAATTTTCATCAAAAAATAGATTTCTTTTTTGGGTGCTTCCAAACACCTGCCAATCTGTGCTGAAGAGGCAACCCAAATCTGCCTATCGAAACCTGATAGCTAAGATCTGGGATTCAAAACTGTACCAGGGGCATCAAAACTGAGCTGCAGTCCTGCTGTCGGTTCGACGTCTCAAATAATTCAGGTTCAGTGGTGGTTCTGTTGAATTCAGGTGACTGATTCTCCCTCGCTGTCTGCCTGGGAGGCAGACAGTGACCTTTCTCAGTGGCTCCATCCCCACCTTGAACCGCCCACAGGGAGGTGTTCCTTTGCAAAAAGCTGGGGCCACACGACTAGACCTCTTCCTTGAAGCTGCAGATCAAGACGCAGGTTAGGGGTCAGGGAGGGGGGTGTTTTTAGTGATGGGGGGGGCGCTACAGCGAGGATGGTTCCAGCTGCACAATCATTCATCAGAAGCAACAAATAATAATAATAATAATTTATTATTTGTACCCTGCCCATCTGGCTGGGCTTCCCCAGCCACTCTGGGCGGCTTCCAACCAAGATTAAAAATACATCAAAATGTCACACATTAAAAAAACTCCCCTGAACAGGGCCGCCTTCAGATGTCTTCTAAATGTCAGGTAGTTGTTTATCTCCTTGACATCTGACGGGTCAAAGAATATACACAGCTGAGAGAGGTTGCAAGAGGATGGTACATTTCTGAGAAAGTGGAAGTTGCTTTTTACATCTCTGGAAATTAAAACGTTTGAGATTTTCTAGATGATGCATGCCATAATTGCATATCATATATCTTGATATTTTTTTTACATTTCATATATTATTTGCTTCAATGGTTCTTATTTCACTTATGTTCATTGTTAATAATAATAATAATAATAATAATAATAATAATAATAATAATAATACTTTTATTATTTGTATGCCAGCCACCTGACTGGCTCCTTTTTTCTCCTCCCTCCCAATCCATTTTTCCTTTGTGGTTGTGTATTTTTAACTCTAGGGCTCCATGATCACTGCAGATGGTGACAGCAGTCATAAAATTAAAAGATGCCGGCTTCTTGGGAGAAAAGCAATGACAAACCTAGACAGCATCTTAAAAAGCAGAGACATGACCTTGCCAACAAAGGTCCGTATAGTTAAAGCTCTGGTTTTCGCAGTAGTGATGGAAGTGAGAGCTGGACCATCAAGAAGGCTGATCGCTGAAGAATTGATGCTTTTGAATTATGGTGCTGGAGGAGACTCTGGAGAGTCCCATGGACTGCAAGAAGATCAGACCTCTCCATTCTGAAGGAAATCAGCCCTGAGTGCTCACTGGAAGGACAGATCGTGAAGCTGAGGCTCCAAGACTTTGGCCACCTCCTGAGAAGAGAAGACTCCCTGGAAAAGACCCTGATGTTGGGAGAGATGGAGGGCACAAGGAGAAGGGGACGACAGAGGACGAGATGGTGGGACAGTGTTCTCAGTGCTACCAGCATGAGTTTGACCAAACTGCGGGAGGCAGTGGAGGACAGAAGTGCCTGGCGTGCTCTGGCCCATGGGGGCATGAAGAGTCGGACATGACTAAACAACAACAACATTTTTAACTCCTAAGCCTGAAGGTCAAGATTGATTTGCATGTGTGTGTGTGATTTGCAAGCCATTCTCTGAACCCCTTTTGGCTGAAGGGAGACATTAAAAAAAAGAGAGAGCTTTAGATTTTTTTAAAAAATGAAAAATCCACTCCTTTGCCCTGCAGAGAGCCTGCTTAATGTTATTTTAGAAGGCAAGGTGAGGTGATGGGTTGCTAATGGGGTTGGGCTGGGATCTGAATGTCCCTGAGGCGTTTGTGGGCATTTCTGATGCAAGTCTATTCACCTCCAACCCTGAGCCGGTTTAAGTTGTATTATTGCGGCTCTCACACATACAGGAGAAGGAAACCGCACAAAGATAGAGGCAGCTTTGGTCAAGATATTTATACTTTTCTGAGCAACAGTGGAAAAAGAAACCCCGAATTGTTTGCCCAGAACAAATAAACAAAAGATAAGGTAGAGAAGAATGAGGTTTCCGTTGCCTACTTCCAAAATCTCCCAAAGCCCTGCATTTGATTACAGAAGAAGGGGCACAAACAAGAGTTGCCAACTTTTCCTGCTGGCAAGGCTCCTCTGCCTTGAACAGCTGTGTGAGAAGCAAAAACTGAACAGTGGGTACTTTGTGCAACACCGCACCTGAGGTTACTTTTAAAATTTATTTTTATTAAAGATTTCTTAGTTTACAAAAAAAACAACAGCCCTGCATTGTCTCTTTTTTCAGGCTGTGTTTCCTGCAGATCCTTTTTCATTTGTTGTGAGACATAGTGTTGCATGCAGTGTTAGGTTGGGAAGAAAAGAGGGGGAGAGGGAGAGGGGGAATGGTGAGTGGGGTGGGGTGAGGTTTGTGCCAGCATCACTTGTGTGGGTTCTCTTACTACTCGTTACATTTCCTTGGTGGTGAGAGAGGATGGGGGTGGCCTTACGGTCTAGTTCTGAGGTTACGTTTTCCCCTTCTGCTTCTCTGCTCGCCCTGAAGCTGTTAACGGAGAAATCTGAGGGCTCCCTTGGATAAAAAACAAGGACACCAACCAGGAATACCAGAGCAAAACAGCAGCCAGTAGGCTTGGTCTTTATTGAAGACTGTCACGACAAGACTCCCACCTGCCACACGGTGGAACAAGATGGAAGCCCCAAACAAAAGAGCCCCCAAACTTTTATTAGCTGCTAATCCCCATGTTGGACGCGGGTGGCGCTGTGAGTTAAACCACAGAGCCTAGGACTTGCCGATCAGAAGGTCGGTGGTTCGAATCCCCGTGACAGGGTGAGCTCCCGTTGCTCAGTCCCTGCTCCTGCCAACCTAGCAGTTCGAAAGGACGTCAAAGTGCATGTAGATAAATAGGTACCGCTCCGGCGGGAAGGTAAACGGCGTTTCCGTGTGCTGCTCTGGTTCGCCAGAAGCGACTTCGTCATGCTGGCCACATGACCCGGAAGCTGTACGCCAGCTCCCTCAGCCTGTAAAGCGACACAACCGGACGCCTTCATCTGCCCCAGCTGCAACAAAACATGTCTCTCCCCTATCAGTCTCTACAGCCACAGAAGGCGCTGTAACTTTCCGATGGTTTGGCTTCACCCGCAAAGGCACACTCCTCCGTGGTCTCCCAAGATAGACAGATGCCAAAGGCAACAAGAGGATTTAGAAAGATAGAGCCACAGGCTTACAATCTATTCCAGCCATCCAGATGTTGTTCAGCTCCCCAATTGATGACATGGCCAATTGGCCAGAGATGATAATAGGAGTGAGCTATAGTCATCAGGACACAGGTGGCGCTGTGGTCTAAACCACTGAGCCTCTTGGGCTTGCTGATTGGAAGGTCGGCAGTTCAAATCCCTGTGACGGGGTGCGCTCCCGTTGCTCAGTCCCTGCTCCTGCCAACCTAGCA